CTCTTTCTTCAACATGGCTTGCTCCCTTATCTCTGTCATATTCTCAGTGAGACCCTCCCTGACTCTGCTATTAAAAATCACACTCTACTCCCAGCATTCCCAATTCTCCTTTTATTATTATTATTTTTTTTACTTATTTGCTTGCCTCCCCCAACTAGACAGCTCTATGAGACAGGGCTGTCTGATCTGTTTACTGCAGCATATATACTACCTAGAATAGTGCCTAGCACATGGAAAATAATCAATAAATACTTGTTGGGTGAATAAACCTGCAAAATGGGATAATGAAAGTACTGACTTCATAAGGTCACAGTGAGGATTCATGATGCGAAGTTAATACATGTAAAGCTCTTAGCACAGCATCTGGCACAGAGTGACGTCTCAATACATGTCAGCTGCTACCATTATTAGTGGGAAACCAAAAACATTTGGTGCTCTGTTGTGGTCTTGGGGCTTCATCGGGTTGTTTTTCCATTTAGTTGTGTCGGACGTGGGATTTGCTCTCTACAGAAGGTTCTTTGTCCCTGCAAACGGGTCACCGGTGAGTTTGGCTTACTTTTTTAAAATAAAAATCTGTTTACCTATCATATAAATAGCTAAAAAGAGTCATCAAATGGAGCAACAATTTCGTGATTTCAGGCAGTCAAACTTCCATTTGAAAGAAAATTCCTGAGGAAATCAGAATTTTATGTTGTCCTTTTTACTCAATTTTCTCATGGCCCTGACCACTGGCTCTACTTCTCTGCACCTGCCACGTTGGTAGCTATTCTAGAACAGGAAAAAAGGGATTTCATGGTCCACACAGAATGAAAAGCAGATTGGAAAACAGCAATGACAATTGGGGTCCAGGTGAATTTACAATATAAAGAAAACTGACAAAGATTTTACTTTATTTGAATTAGTCTTTGAATTTGGTAGTTTGTGTTTGAGTATTTGTATTGTATCTTACCTGTGTTTTCATTCTGACATTTTATGTGAGATCAGATTATGCTCTTGTGTAACTGAATTCTGTTCTCTTGGTTGGCACTATATAGAACCATCCAAAATTTGATGATCAAGAAGAATGAGAAACAATGGCTCTGTCTCGTGTACTCAGAGTTGGTGAAATGACATTTCTTAGCTTTATATGTTTTAGAACATCTCCTTTCTGTGCACATGGAGTTTTTTGTCTTTTGCCCAACGTTGTTCTTCAGACTTTTAAGACTGTGATTGTGATGTAATCACTGTTTAGTAAGAGAGTTGCTACTGAAATAATTAGCATTTTTTTCTCTTGTTTCCATTTTTCCCCTTTTCTCCAAAGGTGTCTTTTGCAGCTCACATTGCAGGTGGATTTGCTGGAATGTCCATAGGTTACACTGTGTTTAGCTGCTTCGATAAGGCACTGCTGAGAGATCCACGGTTTTGGGCAGCAATTGCAGCTTATTTAGCTTGTGTCTTATTTGCCGTGCTTTTCAACATTTTCCTATCCCCAGCGAACTGACCTGCCCCTAATAGAAACCAATGAATAAAAAGAGCCATCTGGGGAAAAAACTGGAGAACTCTACGAAGAAACAGAGCTGTCCCAGCAAATGCTATAAAAAGGGCAAAACACCACTGAAGTCATCAGTTGCAAAAGTTGCTAACAAAAGGACTTAGTGTTTAAGGAAGCCGCTTCCAAATGCAAGGGGAGGGAAGAGAGAAAAGGGAACAACAATAAAAAACAGAGAGTGGGTCTTTCCCAGGCATATGGTGTGCATACATGTATACTCTAAAAAAGACTAGCTCTCCTTGGGTAATATATTGTAGAAATTGCTTGATAGAATCTATGAATACTGTACTATGCTGACAATAAAAACATTTCATACCTGTGGTTAGACTATCAATAATCACTTTCAATCACTGTTTGAGTCGATAGATCACTGAGGTGCTTTATATACATCACTGCTAATCTTTTTAGCAACTCAGAAAGCTGGCTATTACTCTGTTACCTTAGGAAGATATGGAAATTCTTTTAAAAATTCAGGGAGTTCCAGTCAAGATGGCTGGCTAGGTAAAAGTGGGTGTGCCTTCTTCCATGACTGCATTAAAATTACAACCAAATTATAAAACAAATAACTTTGAGACCCACCTGAAGTCTAGCTAATCATAACACATACATCTGAGGATATAAAGAGTGAGCCACTTTGAGGCCGGTACGAGGGGCAGAGACATGAAGTGGGCTGTTCCCACACCCATGTGTGGCAGTTGAACACTGGGAGGGAGAGTGTGGCTGTAGAGACCCCCCTGAAGGAACGAGGGGCCTTAGCCCCACACAGGGGTTCCCCAGCCCAGGGTTCCAATCCTGGGCAGAGGAGGAGTTCCCACAAAATCTGACTGTATAATTTAGTGGGGATTCTGGCTGTCTAGGTGAGATGGAAAGAACCTGAAAACCCAGACATCTGCCTTAAAGGGCCCGCTCAAACTCACTCACTCACAGACACTCATCTTGGGCTGTGGCGGAGGGTCAGCAGCTCAGGAGCTGTAAGAGATATATAAGGAGGGACTGAGTTGTGTGGCACCAGAGTGAGGGCTGGAGGGACAGCCACCATTGCTCCTTTGTTGGCCCCCCTCCTGGGCAGTCTATGGATGGGTGCCATCTTGCCTATGTTGAACCCTCCCTTTTCACGGCCAATTCTGAAACTGCACTGGCCTGGTGAGACCAGCCGGCTCCACCCCCTTGTCTCCCTGGGACCTAGCCCCACCCCACACACAAATTGTCCCCAGCAGGCTGTTGCCAGGCAGCCAGCCCCACCCTGCACCTTTCCTGGGCTGCGCATAGATGGGCAGGGCAGCCCTCAGCTTGCATCACCCATGTGTGGCCCGTTCAGTAAGGGGGAGACTTTTGGTGGTGAGCCATTGGTGCTGGCCCAAACTGCAGTGTCTCTTGAGCAGATTGCTGGGGTCTGCAGGCCTGAAGTGGACTGTGGCTGGCCTCGCTGTGATCTATGACTTTTGTGGGAGCCCACAGGCTCAATACTGGCAGCAATATGCATCGGCCTGATAGATTCAGCTCGCTCCACCCTCTGTCTCCCAGAGACCCTATACCACCCAACCCACAAATTGCCTGCGGCAGGCCCATTGCCTAGCAGCCAGCCCTACCCTGTGTTTTCTCTGGGCCATGGTTTTGACAGCAAACAACAGTCCTTAGCTTGTGAGGCCTGCATGCAGACTGTGCATCCCTGGAAAGACTTTTAGTGGCGGGCCACAAGGCATGCCCCGCGCTACACTATTTTATGAACAGATCCCAGGTGTCTGTGGGCCTGAGGTAGGCAGCAGCTGGCCTTGTTGTGACCTGAGACTTTCGTAGGAAGCCACAGGTTCAGCATAAGAACAAAACCTGATTCTGCATTGGCTGGGTGAAATCTGCATGCTTTACCTAGGTGATTCCCTGGGTCTCTGCCCCACCTAACTCCTTACAGCTGTGGAGACTTATGGGCAACTGGCAGACAGCCTCAGGCCTTGAGATGCACTGGTCCTTTTGCTGAGCCACCCCAGGGCCAGTACTGGGGGTAACCAACCTCATCTGACAGTGTTGTCTCTCCAGATCCAGTACAAGCAGCAACCATTTGTAAAATACTTGTGGCTCCTACCAGGCAGCCCTGAACAATCAAAGGCAGTGGCTGACCTTGATTTACATGGGGCCCTAGAACTAACATACCCGGAGGCATGGCATCAGACAACAACAGAGCACCACCTGACTAGCCCCATAAGTGGCACACCAAAAAGGTGGTCTCAAGAGGTACAGGAGCCTGCTAGAGCAAATCTCACTCCGTGGGGTCAGCATCACACAGCAGCTCATACCCTGTGGGAGTGGCCAATCCCCACAGCCAGTCAGCCCAAGAGTCAATCCCATCCACTGACTGGCTAACAGCAAACAAGGATTAGCTACAACAAAAGAACACACAACCCACACCCAGAGCTCCCTGTGCAGATGATCAGGGAGACTGTGCCACTGGGCCACACAGGACACCTACTACATAAGGCCACTTGGCCAAGGGTGGAAAACATAACACATATTTCTAATACATAGAAATGAACACAGAGAGACAGTTAAAATGAGAAAACAAAGAAACATGCCACAAATGAAACAAAAGAAGAAACCTCCAGGAAAAAAAAAAAAAGAAAAACTAAGTGAAATGGAAGCAAGCAACCTACCAGAGACAGACAGTTTAAAACACTGGTTATAAGAATGTTCAATGAACTTAGGGGGAGAACAGATGATCTCAGTAGGGACTTTAACAGAGAGATAGTAAGCATAAAAAAGAATATAGAACCATAAAAAAGAACCAGTCAGAAATAAAGATTACAATAACTGAAAGGAAGAATACACTAGAAGAAATCAACAGTAGATTAGATGAAGCAGAAGATCGAATCAGCAAATTGGAAGACAAGGTAGAAGAAAACACTCAATCAGGACAACAACATGAAAAGAAGAATTAAAAAAAAATGAGGAAAGTTAAGAGATCTCTGGGACATCAAATGTACTAACATCTGCATTATTGAGGTACCAGAAGGAGAAGAGAAAGCAAGAAATTGAGAACCTATTTGAAGAAATAATGACAGAAAACTTCCCTCACTTGGAAAAGGAAATAGACATACAAGTCCAGGAAGTGCACAGTCTCAAACAAGAGGAACCCAAACAGACCCACACCAAGACACATCATCATTAAAATGCCTAAGATTTTATTTTTAAAGGGAGGCAACGCTTGGTTGACCTCACAGATTGCAAGGAACTTGTCAGCTTATAATCCCTTATTTTTTTATTTTTTACGCCTACAGCACCTGGTCTTCCTAGGTGATCTCCCATCCAAGTACTAACGAGGCCTGACCCTGCTTAGTTTCCAAGATCAGATGGTATCGGGCTTGTTCAGGGTAGCATGGCCATAGATAAAGAGAGAAGCTTAAAAGGAGCAAGAGAAAGGCAGTTAGTTATTTACAAGGGTACTCCATAAAAATGTCAGCTGATTTTTCAACAGAAACTTTGCGGGCCAGAAGGAATTGACATGAAATATTCAAAGTGATGAAATACAAGAACCTATAGACTACTCTACCCAGCAAGGCTATCACTTAAAGTTGAAGGTGACATAAAGAGCTTCCCAGATAGGAAAAAGCTAAAGGAATTCATCACCATGAAGCCAGAATTACAAGAAATGTTGAAGACTTTGTAAAAAGAAACAGGGGGAAAAACTCATAAATACGAATAACAAAATGACAATAACTATGTACCTATGTCAAGATGTAAATGGATTAAATTCTTCAAAAGACATAGGATAACTAAATGGATAAGAAAACAAAACTCATACATATACTGTCTACAAGAGACCCACTTAAGGTCAAATGACACACACAGACTGAAAGAAAAGGGATGGAAAAAGATATTTCATGTCTACGGCCATGCCACCCTGAACATGCCCAATCTCATCTGATCTCAGAAGCTAAGCAGGGTCAGGCCTGGTTAATACTTGGACGGGAGACCACTTAGGAATACCAAGTGCTGTAGGCGTTAAGAGAAAAAAAAAAAGATATTTCATGCCAATGAAAATGAAAAAAAGAGCTGGGGTAGCAGTAATTATATCAGACAAATTAGACTTTAAAACATAGGCTATAACGAGACAAAGAAGAATATTTCATAATGATAAAGGAATCAATACAAACAGAGGACATAACCCTAGTAAACATATAGGCAGCCAACATAGGAGCACCTTCATATATAAAGCAATTATTGACCGATGTAAAGGGAGAGATAAACAGTAATACACTCATAGTAGGAGACTTTAACACCCAATTGACACCAATGGACAGATCTTCCGACAGAAAATCAACAAGGAAACAACAGCCTTAAATGACACAGCTGGATTTAATTGATATTTTCAGAGCGTTTCTTCCCAAAGAAGCAGGATATACACTCTTCTCAAATGCACATCGAACACTTTCTAGGAGAGACCACATGCTATGCCACAAAACAAGTGTCAGTAAATTTAAGAAGACTGAAATCATATCAAGTGTCTTCTCTGATCACAGTGGTATGAAACTAGAGATCAACTACGAAAACAAAAATAAAAACAAAAACACACACCTGGAAAATATACAAACATATGGAGGCTAAACTACATGCTACTAAACAATGAATGGGTTAACAATAAGATCAAGGAAGAAATCAAAGGATACTTAGAGACAAATGAAGATGAAATCACAACGACTCCAAATTATGGGACACAGCAAAAGCAGCCCGAAGAAGGAAATTCATAGTAATACAGCCCTACCTCAAGAAACAAGAAAAATCTCAAATAAACAATTTAACCTTATACTTAAAAGAACTAGGAAAAGAATAGCAAACAAAACCCAAAGTGAGTAGAAAGAAGGAAATAATACACATCAGAACAGAAATAAATGAAATAGAATCTAGAAAAACAATACAAAAGATCAATGAAACCAAGAGCTGGTTCTTTGAAAGGATAAACAAAATTGACAGACCTTTAGCCAGACTCATCAAGAAAAAAAGCGAGAGGACCCAAATAAATAAAACCAGAAATGAAAGAGAAGTAACTAGGGACTCCACAGAAATACTATGAGCAATTATATGCCAACAAATTGGACAATCTGGAAGAAGTGGATACATTCCTAGAATCTCTCAAAACTGAGTCAAGAAGAAACAGAAAATCTGAATCGACTGATTATCACCAACGAAATCGAATCAGTAATCAAAAAACTTCCAAAAAACAAAACTCCTGGGCCAGACGGCTTCATAGGTGAAGAATTAACACCTATTCTTCTCAAACTATTCCAAAAACTTCAAGAGGAAGGAAGTCTCCCTCTTTTTACAAAGCCACCATTACACTGATTCCAAAACCAAACAAAGACAGTACAAATAAAACTATAGGCCAATATCCCTGATGAACATTGATGAGAAAATCCTCAACAGCAAACCAAATTCAGCAATACATTAAAAATATACACCATGGTCAAGTTTGATTTATTCCTGGGATGCAAGGTTTAATATCTGCAAATCAATTAATGTGATACACCATATTAACAAATTGAAAGATTAAAATCATTTGATCATATCAACAGATGCAGAAAAAGCATTTGATAAAATCCAGCATCCATTTATGATAAAAACTCTCAGCAAAGTGGAAAGAGAGGGAACATATCTCAACATAATAAAGGCCATATATGACAAACCTACGGCTAATATCATACCCAGTGGGGAAAGGCTAAAAGCACTTTCCTTAAGATCAGGAACAAGAAAAGGATGTTCACTATCACCACTTCTATTCAACATAGTATTGCAAGTCCTAACTACAGCCATCAGGCAAGAAAGTGAAATAAAAGGCATTCAAACTGGAAAGGAGGAAGTATAACTGTCATTATTTGCAGATGACATGATACTACAGAGAACTCTAAGGATTCTATCAAAAAAAACTGTTAGAACTGATAAATGAATTCAGTAAAGTAGCAGGATACAAAATTAATATTCAGAAGTTGGTTACATTTTTATACACCAATGATAAACTATCGGAACGAGAAATTAAGAAAACAATCCCATTTACAATTGCATCAAAAACAATAAGATACCTAGGAATCAAATTAACCAAGGAGGTAAAAGACCTGTTCTCGGAAAATTATAAGTCATTGAAAAAAAATTTGAAGAAGACACAAATGGAAGCATATACTGAGCTTATAGGTAGGAAGAAACAACATCATTAAAATGGTCATACTATTCAAAGCAATCTATAGATTCGATGCAATCCCTATCAAAATACCAACGACATTTTTCAGAAAACGAGAACAAATAATAAAAAATTTTATATGGAACCATAAAAGATCTGAATAAAATGGTTCAATAAATGAAACAAATGAATGTGTGGAGTTTTTTTGAGGGGAGAGGAGAGATGAAATTCTAAGCATCTGTGACACTTTTAGAAACAGCAGAGCACAGTGCTTTCATAGAGCAGTCCCTTAATGTTGGCTGAAATTTATTTGAAGATAGAGAAACTAGTACCCAAACCCAAGGTAGGTAGCAATTCAAAATTACCAGCCCATGTTTGAGAATTTAAAGCCTTACTTTCTGTGAAAACGCTAAAAATTTATGTGGAAAATGGTCTAGTTTCATTTTTTTGCATGTATCTGTCCATGGCAATCTTGAGAAAGAAGAACAAAGTTGGAGATTTGAACAAGAACTTAAAAAGATAAAACTCCCTTTTATTTTCCCATCCTAAACAGCTTTTTTTCCCCAGTGATGACTGCTGTCAACAGTTAGGTGCGCATTTTGGACATTTTACTATTCAAGATGAACAGAAAGGGAAATGGATTTTAGCTGCTGGCTGACTCATTCACTGTACTGAATGGCACTAAATCTGCTCTGCACCCCCAAAGGGAGAAACTCAGAGAAGCATGACGTGCTTTTCTAATGTACCTAAATTATGAAAGGTTTGTGTTAACCTGTTTTAGCTAATTAAATATACACATGAAATATAAGTTTTAACAGGATAAATGAGGTCACACTACAATTATTGTTCTGTAAATTGCTTTATAATTGATGCAGGGGTCTATCTCTTTTAGTGTACAGATCTTTATTCTCTCAGTTGCTCAGTGATACAGATGTACTAGTGTTTATTTAACCATTCCTCTATTGGACACTTAAGTTGCTGCTGATTTTGTACTACTACCAACAGTACTATGCAAACGTGCAGTGTGTCTTTGAGTATATTTTGCTGAATGAATGAATATTTCGAGCATCCAGAAGCAGAAACGTTTTGTTAATTTTGTTAAATTTAAGATGACTTTTTAAAAACTTGACATGTTTATTAGCCATCACTTAAATTAAAAAAAAAAACTGCATATAAAGTAAACATGTTTAAAAACTTTTTTGACAACTATGTACTTTTTACTTTTATATTCAGTTCTTTGTAGAGTTTTCATCATTATTACTCTTTGAACTATTAATTTTCCCTCATCCCTGTAACAGAGAGTTAACACTGATGGACTTTAGACACATTTTTAAAAAATAACTGTGTCCATTTATATTCTTACAGTATATGAGTAAGAGTTTTCTCATACTCTTGCCAAAAGCAGGTATTATAAATCTTTGAGAAATTTCCATTTTTATACTTAAAAAATACTTCATTTTAATTTGTATTTCTCTGACTACTGAGGCTTAGCATTTTTCATTATTAATAATTTATGTTACATATAATATATAATTGATATAATATATAATATGCACATACACATATATGCATATAAAATTTCCTGTGACAAAATGTTTGCATTTAATCTGAAAAGTAGCTAGTAGTTAGCAAAGAGGCCCAAGGAATAAATATTCATCTGCCATGGCCAATCCACCAGGTCACCAGCTCTGAGGAGAGACCCTGAATAACCTAAAGGACAATACAATTGTTAGTCACAGAAAACTAGACAGAGCAACAGGATTTATCTAACTGTGAAACTGGACATGACCCATTGATTATTAAGACTGATGACTAAGAAGTTATTATCTAGTCAGAAAGATTTTTTGGCACTAGAAACATTGTTCACATGACCAAAAATAGTGATTATCTTATGGGGTTCACCAGGGACAAAATTACCATTAAAAAAGCACACAAACATCTCCTGTTTTAGTTTGACATCTGAAAATTACAGAGGAACCATTAATTCAGCTTAATTTGGGGCTCATAACTTTAGTCTTCTACACTGTGATTAGAAATACTGGAAGTAATTTTCACCTGTGCTGTCCAATAAAGTAGCCACTAGGTACAGGTAGCTCTGTATATTTTAACTAAAATTAAAATAAAAAACTCAGTTCCTCTGTCACACAAGCCACATTGAGAGTGCTCAATAGCTACATGTGGCTAGTGGCTACATTATTGGATAGCACAGATGGAGTCTATTTCGACATCACTGCAAAAAGTTTTATTGGACAACACTGTTTTAGAAGCAAGAATATGCTGATAGGAAAATGGATTTTAGCTGGTGGCTGACTCATTCACTGCACTGAACCAAACTGAATCTGCTCTACACCTGCAAAGGGACAAATTCAGAAAATAAGTTGAAGATGGCTGTGGTATAATTTCTAAGCATGATTTGCTTCAGATTTATCTAAACTAAGAAAGGTTTGTAATAATTTCTCTGTTTTAGCTAATTAAGAGCCATTTGAAATGTTTTTACCTTTCGCTTTTGAATTCTATAGTACTATATCTATGCATGCTGGTATTAACATCATTTGCTACGAAAGCTTTAGAACCTAAGGTTTGTAGTGAAATAATACTGCTGCTTATTTCAGGAAATGCTATGCCCTTATAAGGGAAAAAAAATCTTTTATTTCTTTTTGTGATCAGAGAAGTAAAGTGTTCACGGTAAAAAAAAAATGATAAAAAGTTAAGTCAATTATAATTACACTACCCAGAGATAATCAGTTAACATTTGATGAATATCTTTCTAGGCTTTTTTGCATGCATCTCTGTATGTAAGTAAATTAACAGTAATAGGACCACACTATTCAATGTTATAACCTAAATGTCACTGAAACAATATATCAAATGTCTTTTTATATTATTATGTATTTATCATTTCTACTGTTTACATAGTATCACACTCTGGATATACTGTTATTTATTATGTACAATATAGTCTTTCTTGTATTGACAATCATTTTGGATGTTTTCAGGTTATGATTATGATCATGAATATGTGCTTACACTTTAAAGTGCTTTGGATTGTTGGGTCAAAGAGTATATTATTGCTAACATAATAAAGTCAAATAGAAATTTTTCTATCTCAGGAATACAACTAAATTTTAGAAGGTTGATGCTTTTGTAAGTCTTTTTAACTGTATATAGTTATTTAAAAAGTCAAAGCTATCACTATTTAAATAATTAAAAATTTAAGAGTAAACATGATTTCTTAATGTCTCTTTCATGCAAATTTCAAATGTTTAAAGAGGAAAATAACAGTTTAGTTAAAACAGTTAAGAGCTGACTTTAGAGCCATACTGATTGAATCTGAATGCCAGTTCTAGCTGTGTGACTTTGGGTCATTTAAGGTGTGCCTCAGTTTCCTCATTGTAAAATGGGGAGCAACATAATTACTTCATAGGAATTTTGTGATGAAAAAGCATAGCCTATATCTTGTAGCTATTGTGTAACATTTCCCTTTCTATAAGGGATATAATACATTTATATTTTATATGAGAGTGAAAACATTCATTCCTTTTTCTTTTCTTTGGGATGTACTTCCTCTTAGATATCCTAGGATATCAACCTTAATATAAAACCTACTGGCTGATAATCCAAGCATGGAAATTATAACTTGCCCCATTGCTCCCTCCACAAAAGCAAGCTACATGTCTTAAATAGGTCAAACACTGTTACAATGAAAATTTCTATAACACCACCACCACACTAATGTTCCATTTATTTCAAGTAATATCTAATAACATCCTGGTAATACCAAATAGTAGAAAATTTTTGGAGTTCATTTTAAGATGATAAAAATTTACAGTATTTTTCATAGCAAATTACAATAAAAATGTTATGAATACTCAAATATATTACTAAAATGACTTCTGACAATGCTCAAAAACTGTCATAAATCTAGAATTTAGAAATTTAAATGTGGATTAAAAAACTAATCTAAATTCTTATAGCAAGAGCCAGATGTTTCCTCTGGTTTCATTAGATGCTGTATCTTACTGAATTATAAAATGAAACACATTCATTTTCCTTTGCGTATAAGTGAAATTTTAAAATTATTGACTTTGGTTATAACTTTTATATAATATAATCTTAATACATTTGTAAGATCAAATCAAGTTTAAGGAACTTCTCCAAAAGCTCTGAGTTTAAAAGATTAAACAATAAACTTCTGCTTAAGGAGACTCCTTTCTTATAGAAAATCCTACAGTTCTATTTTCATAGAGTTTATACACCCTTCCCCAGGTATCATGTTTTTGTTTTTTTCATTGCATTGAGGTCTAAACATGTGATTTTAAATTCCTGACATCTTAAATATATTCTTGGTAACAGATTATCACAACTCTAGGGAAAAAACAAAGCAACTTGCAAACTGAGTGATACTTTGTTTATATTTTGGCTATAGGTTTGCTTTAAGAAATAGCACGCTGTCAGAATGGAAGACTTTATCTGCCTTCTTTGTGACGGGGTTCAGAGCTAAGATGGCCGACTAAATAAACATGGGGGACTGGAATTTCCTTGGAGGCATTCTGGAGGAAGTTCACACCCACTCTACCATGATTGGAAAGATCTGGCTCACCATCTTGTTCATATTTCGAATGCTTGTTTTGGATGTAGCAGCTGAAAATGTCTGGAATGATGAGCAGTCTGGCTTCATCTGTAATACAGAACAACCTGGCTGCAGAAATGTATGCTATGACCAGGCCTTTCCTATCTCCCTCATTAGATACTGGGTTCTACAGGTGATATTTGTGTCTTCACCATCTCTGGTCTACATGGGCCATGCTTTGTACCAACTGAGAGTTCTGGAGAAAGAGAGGCAGAGGGAGAAAGCTCAACTGAGAGGAGAACTGAAGGGGCTAGAGTTTGAAGTGTCTGGGGATCGGAGGAAATTGGAGAAAGAACTTTATCAGCTGGAGAGAAGAACACTAAATAAAGCTCCACTCAGAGGAACCTTGCTTTGCACTTATGTGATACACATTTTTGCTCGCTCTGTAGTTGAAGTTGGGTTCATGACTGGACAGTATCTTTTATATGGATTTCATTTAGAGCCTCTATTTAAATGCCATGGCCACCCATGTCCAAATATAATTGATTGTTTTGTCTCAAGACCAACAGAAAAGACAATATTTCTATTATTTATGCAATCCATAGCCACTGTTTCACTTTTTTTAAATGTTCTAGAAATTTTCCACTTAGGCTTTAAAAAGGTTAAAAGAGGGCTTTGGGGACGATATAAATTGAAGGATGAGCATAATGAATTCTACAAGTCAAAACAAAATCTTGCCAAATATCAGAGCACATCTGCAAATTCACTGAAGCAACTCTCTTCTGCACCTGATTATAATCTGTTAGTGGAAAAGCAAACACACACAGCAGTGTATCCCAGTTTAAATTTATCTGCATTTCAGGCAGATCCTGACAATCACAAAGGAAATGATGAAAAATGTATTTTGGATGAACTGGAAACTGTACTTTCCAATGAGAAGTGCACACTTAGTACTACTTGTAGTCATAGTCAATCCATCGGCTCAAGTACTAATGAAGATGCTCATAAAATATTTAGAAAAGAAGTTAATGGTAACCCCTTAAGAGAAAAGAAAATTGATGGCAAAGACAGCAAAAGGAACCAGAATGCTAGAGGTAATTGTTCTATTCCAGGTGTTGCTAGAGATCTGGACAACCACATGGGGCTGACATCCCAAAGAGCTTTCTCTTTGCCAGCTAACTGCATGGAAACCCCGAGGTGGCTTTGTGCTACACTGAGTCCCTCTATAGAAGATGAGAACTGGGAGTCACCTCCTAAAGGTAACCTCAAGGGCCAGTTCAGAGATGGCACAATCAGAACCCTTTCTCCTTTACAAGGGGACTTCCAACCACTTAATATTCCAGACACTCCTAATTCTTTACGAGAGTTGTCCTTTGGATCGGAGTTTGTCAGAACCTGCAATAATCCTACCACTTGTCCTCCAAATCATTTAATGTTGCTGACAAACAACCTCATTAGTAGGCGGGCTCCCACAGACCTTCAGATCTGAACAGCTGTTGGCTTTTAGACATTCTGCATATTATCCTATCATAGAAGTAGCCTAGTGGTGGCGAAGCACAGACAGAACAGGTAAGGGCAGCTCTAAAGCCCAGCTGTTAAGACAGACAGCTGCAAACTTATTTCGTACAGAGCGAACAGCTTAAATTCTGAATTGTGAAGGTGTAGTTTTAAAATCAAAGACATAGTATTACCAAAAAAGACATAGTATTACCAATATAGAGCAAACAACTCAAATTCTGAATTGTGAAGGTGTAGTTTTAAAATCAAAGACATAGTATTACCAAATCAGGGTTACTTTTTCACGGGCTCCCTTCAGGATTTGTGAAAACTGATGTTAGAAAAATCATATGTTCAGAATTGAGGCTAAATGGATTGGAACGAGGTTTTTTTCTCGAAGCCTTGGAGATTGTTCTTAATGTATATAATTCCTCTTTTTAGTTACTGATCTTTTATTTCTGGACATTGGTTAAATTTTCTTTGCTCCTGGGATTTAATTTAGTCCTTATAGGCTGCAATCTGATGTGTCTTGTGCATAATCATGTTGTTATCTAGCAAATAAAATCTTAAAAAGACCTGTGGCTTTCTTTGACCAGTTTATAGCATTGTGATTCGGTGCCCAAATTGAAGTCTTGGTTCTACTACGAACTGGTCATCTCACCGCACCACTTTACTAACAGTTCCTACATCACAAGTAGAGAGTCAAGATTAAATTAAGAAACACATGTTTTAATATCGAGCCTGGCCCACAACAAGCGCTCTAAAGTGCTAGTTATTAGCACGTTACTGCTCATTCTCTAAAGGCCCACGTCAAATTGGCCACAAAACAAGGAAACTCCAAACATAAATGCTAGAACCGAAAGATACGATTCTAAACACATTCCTCAAACCATTGGAAATCCAAGGGTCGCCCTGCGTCAGTCGTGAACACTCCTGCAGAATGAGAGGCAAGAAGTCAGCGGGTAGGTTACCAAAGCTTCCGAAGTCCCAGTTGAGAAAGGTACCCCCACAACGGGTGTCGAGAGTTCTTTCGCCTCGGCAATAGCCCTAGTGCTCCCGGGCTCCGCATGCCCCGCCTCCGGGGACCACGCCCATCTTTGGCCCCACCTGGACATTTGTCTCAAGTTACCGAAACCGTGCCGCTCGCTAAGCAACCGAATCGCGGCAGGGACCGGAAGAGGAAAGAGAGGTGCTGCTCAGCCAGCCAGATGGGCGGGCGTACGCAGCCTCCTTCGGAACGGCCCACTATGGGGCATTCAGAGCGTCCCGGTCGCCATGAAAACAGGCCACACCCCGGCCACCCCGGCCCGTGGTTCCCAAGTGCGCAGGCGCGCGTGCCCTTCGGCGCATGAGCAGTGCTGCTCAGAGCCCGCCAGCCACGGTCTCCGGCGCCAGCTACGCCGCTGCCGCTGTCACTATGGCCCATTACAAAGTGAGGGGGGCGCGGCATGGCTGGGGGCGTGCGGGCGGTGGCGAGCCTCTGGTCGGCTCCAGGTGGGAGTGGGGGTGCGCGCGCAGGTTTTGGGGGCCTGAGGTAGCGAAGCAGAGGCGGGGTTTGCCGAACTCCCAGCGCCTTCTTCCTGCTCCGGCCCCCGGGTTTCGGCCACTGACCCGCCGTGTCTCCTCAGGCCGCCGACTCGAAGCGCGAGCAGTTCCGAAGGTACTTGGAGAAGTCCGGGGTGCTGGACACGCTGACTAAGGGTGAGCATGGGGTAAGAGAGGGTTCCTCGTACCCTCTTCGTGCTCCTCGGGGCTGCGCCCGATGACGGGCCGTGGCGTGGGGAAGGAGCGGGTACAGGTGGGACGCGTTCGGGGTCCAGCGAGGTGGGCCTTGGGGATCCTTGGGGACCGGCGCACGCTAGGTTGCGGGACGCCGCCCGAGTCGGATAGCCTTGCTCACGGCCACCACTCTCCCGGCCGGGAGTGAAACTCTTGCAGCTGTTGCAAAGTCTCTCCAACTTCCGTTGCTTTGCCTCGAGCAGCCGCAGTGGGCATGTTTGCTAAAGACCTTGAGATCCCAGTTCCTCCCGCTTCACAGTTTCTGCGGAGTCCTCAAAATACTGTTAAGAAACATTTAATCGCGAACGAAGGGCAAGTGGGAAAAATTTCCGATTTCAAAGTGCGCTATGAAGTAGCTAAGTGGACTTCATCTCCAATGTAGGCGATTCATAGTCAATTAGGCTGTGGCTTTTCAGCCCAATTTCCAGTCCATGTCAATTCCTACGTTGTGCATATTTCATAATTAAAGAAGCTTGAGGACACATCAAAATGGTTATATTGTTTTTACTTATTAAAATGTACATTGTTACACTGTGTCTCTTCCTCCGAGTTTCAAGATAAGGTCCTTGAAGCTGGAGGGTTCCAAGAGATAGTTGGGGTACTGCTTATTTCATCAGCTCATCAGTAATTTGAATGTCTGTTATATATCACTCAACTCTTTGGTTGAGACTTTCAAGGGTGTAGAAGAGTTGGCAGGGATGAGTACCCGGGGCCACATGAGAAGAACAGTAAATGCCTGGGAAATAATTTGGTAACTGCTATTTGGCCAGAAGCAAAGGTTAGGAGAAAATTCTGGGAGAACTATGAATCATAGCAGAAAATAGGACTTTAAATTCTCAAGTATGGGCTGGTAATTTTGAATTGCTACCTACCTTGGGTTCAGGTGCTAGTTTCCCTATCGCTTTGCATATAAATTTCAGCCAACATTAAGGGACTATACGAAAGTGCTGTGCTCTGTTTATGGAAGTGTCACACAGATGCTTAGAATTTCATCTCTCCTCTCCCCTCAAAAAAACTCCACAAGTTCATTTCTTTCATTTATTGAACCATTTTATTCAGGTCTCTGTTCTAGGCACTGGGGATACAACAGTGGGGGAAAAAATTCCCAGCTTTAAATGAGTTTACATCCTAGTTAGGGGACTAATAATAAATACATAATGTCAGCCAGTGGTGTTATGAATAAAAACAGTAAAGTTGGGGATAAAGAACACTGGATATGCCATTTTATATTACTCTCTTAATATTTGAACAAAGACCTGAATGAAATAGTATGTTATGTCAAGAGTTCCAGGAAGTATAAGGAGGCCAGAGTGGCTGGATGGAGTGAAAGATATAATGGTAAAGGGCAGCAAAGTGACCCTTGTGGGAAGTAACTGAAGATGAACAGCCTGTGGCCATATGTGGATATTCCTTCATGAGAGACTAGATTTCCAGTTTCCTAAGTAACATCAGACAACATACTATCTACTGATGAGATCTATTTAAAACTTGATTTTCAGCTTCAAACATAGGTACTTTACATAGATTTAATTTATAATTTTTACTAAGCTTATTTCCAAGAGGATTTGAAACTAAAAACACTGTAAGACAGGATGGCTAAAGATAAAGATGGTAAGTCATTTGGAAGAAGAGGCATTTTAGTTATTTTGAGCACTATATATCAACCTCTAAAAATCCTGGCTGCTAAGGCAAAAAGGGGAACATCGGGTATAGAGTTTTTCTTGTCTGAGTTAAAGGAAGTATATTCCATCTATAGAAAAGCACAGGAAACTTGACATTTACATTATGTTCTGTAATTACCAACCTTGTACCACTGACAGAAATTTAAAAGTTGAAAGAAATAGGATGGGCGAAGAAGAGGAAGAAAGGATAAAGTGTATTCATGTCTTAGAAAATCAGGACTCAGTAGAGATCAATGGAGATTAATGGAAGAAACAGAAGTTTGAGTATATAATTTAAAGAAAAAGGTAATAAGTTGAAGGTACTATAACATACTGAAAGGAGGAAAGAGGATTGGGTAGTGGTATAAATATATCAATGTCTCAAAAGATAGTATATTTAGAGAGATAAAGAGTTACTATCAGAACTCAATTTAAGTTGTTAAATGTAGTTGCCCGTTTGAGTTTTTCCATACTGCATATTTTATTTTGAGGAGTTATTAAAACTCTTGAAAGATAAAAGGGAAGCATGTAAGTTGGTTTAAAACAGGAGTTCTTGTGGTATGGATATGCATATTTTTTTGTGTGTAGTTAAATTTGTTTTCTTGGCTTTTATCAGACTGTTCAAAGGGTTCCATGCACAAAAACTTAACCCCTGGTTTAGAGAGAGTTTTATCTGAGCAATAAATCCTAGGAGGAGTTTGTTCAATAGAAGATGAGCAAGGTAGTGCTGATGTGAGCTAGCTATAGGATATGAAACCATTGAAGTATTATATGTTAATGTTGATTTGAGCATGTTGATCACTGGTAAAGTTTTTGGTTGGAGGTCATTTAGCATGTCGTGTATGAAACTTCATTCTTGAAGGATATTTTGAATTCAGAGTTTTTCAATAATTACCATAGCCATGTTGATTCTCTCCTAAATTTTTCTCAAATTTATCTACATTGTTTCCACCCCTCTGTCACCCTAGTGCAGGTCACACTATCTTTTCAACGTGATTACCACATCAGCCTCTTAACTGCTTTTCCTGCTCTTATCCTTGTCCCACTTGTTGATTTTCCACATAGCAGTCAAGAGTGATCCAGTCACTTTCCTGCTTAAAATGTTTCTGTGTCTGTTCTTAGGATCAAAGTCCAACCAGACTTGCAGGATCCTCTCCCTAGTCTGCCCCGACCACCTTTCCAGCTTCTTCAGCCAATCACTGATAGTGAATACTCCTGCAATATTGTTCATAACTCTATCTAGCCACACTTGAATTTCAGTTTCTCAGTATGTTGCCTCCTGCCCTTCCCATTTTATCTACAACCATCATCATCTAGGTCTCAGGTCTTATCTCCCTTCCTTTAGGAAGCCTTCCCTGGTGCCCTAGGCTGAGTTAGGCGTTCTTCCAGTGTGCTCCCATAACCCATTATTCTATATTGTCCCTTGATACTTTTTTTTTTTTTGTCTAGTTCCTTGCTTATCTTTTGCACTAGACTGTAAATTCATTGAGAAAAGGGTCCATGCCTGTCTTGTTGATCATAGTATGGACAGTCCTAGCAGTGTGCCTGGCATATAATAGGCACTTAATAGATACTGGGTTATGGACTATAACTTCAGTCATTCAAATTTAAGACTTTAATTGTTGCTTTTTCTGCTTTTTGATTTGCAGTATTGGTAGCCTTATATGAAGAACCAGAGAAACCTAATAGTGCTTTGGAGTATCCTTTTCATCTTTCAAGTCAGAAAAAGGCCTTATTTTTGGAACTCTTATTTTTTCACATAGATAATAAACCTTTATAATACTTTTGATTATTGAAAAAGTTACTTTCCTTTGAGTTTTTGGATGATGATCTCTGGGTAAATATGGGAGGTAGGGTGGGGTGACTCTGATCAGAGATATTGATGGTACACTGGGCTATTTCATTAGTTCCATTCAGCTCAAGTAAATTCTTAACTTTGATATTAGTTTTTTAAAGCATCACTTAGGAGCTGCTACCCCAGAAAATCCAGAAATAGAGCTGCTTCGCCTAGAATTGGCAGAAATGAAAGAGAAATATGAAGCTATTGTAGAAGAAAATAAAAAACTGAAAACAAAGGTAAATTTTTAAAAAGAATTCATGCTAAAAATTAATTTTACTTTTAGTGATCAAAACCTCACTAAAATGGACAGTAGGGGAGGGAGGAGGGTGAATATCAATCTCAATTAATTGTAAGGCTGAACTAATGCCGTTTAGAAAACCATAGACAAATTATAAATAGGACAAGCAAGTATGGTTAAGAAAAGGTTCTTGGGAACTTACATCAACAAAAATGAGAATATTGGTCATGCTGCTTATAAAAGTAAATGGAGATTTCTGAGAGTCTTAAGCAGTTGATTTAAGTAGGTCAGTATAGGGCCATTGTTTTGTGAATGGCACCTCTTATGAGTTGTGCAGTGCAGTCTGCATAGTCATGCGTGGTGGCCCTGTAATGGCTCTGTAAGTTTGTTTGCACTCAATTTTGTTTAGTGCTGAAGTTTTTTCTTTGTTTAAACTCCTGTGAAAATTTTCATAAACTTCAAATTAGTCAACTCTAAGTCTTTTGAGGTTTCACCACACTCTGAATCACGTAATGTATTTTTTACATTATTCTAGGTATTTCTCGTAATGTTTTATCTTCTCAACTCTGACAGCTAAATGGAGCAACTGAAATCTTAGCTTAGTGTTCTTCCAGGGAACCACAACTTAGCATAAAAGAAAACGCAATATCTTAAAT